TTTCTACCGATGCATATGAAAATAGATCTATTAAACATTCCAATTCTATTTTATTCAATTTTATTTTTCAGAACTCTGTAATGGCAAGCAAAATATTTACCTCTGCACAATGAAGCCACAGACTCATGGGATCATTTAAGACCTTAAACATGTGACACATTTACTTCAGCCCGTTGGGTAATATTCTAAGCCCGTTTACTATTTTCACAAAACAAAAACATATGCCTAAAAACTGTGAACTTAAAGAAGCCAGGTACCAGATTCATCTTTATAACTCAATACCCAGAAAATAAATCTTGAAAACAGTATTCAATTAATGCTTCTAAATACATTAGAGATGAAACTAATAAATTTATCCACATATTTACCCACTAAAATTTTACAACAGGTACATTTAGTCATAAAATTTAACCACTTTTCCACTTTTTCCTTGCCCTACTTTATTGAATTTACTTTTAAGAAAAAGTGAGCCTCTAATGGTCACCTCCTTCTGCAAACCAACAGATTAAGATTAACAAACATTTGGCACTTAAATTTGCCTATGCAATCCAATGTTATCAGCTTTCTTACAAAGCATCACAAGAGTTTATAATTGAATTATTGATTTAATTTGTATTTGATTTCCTTAAACCAAAATCCCAAGCAAGTAAGAAAAAAGCAAAAACAATGTGTTATCAAATAAAATTGGAAAAATACAAATAGAGCACTGAATAATAGATGATAAAATTATAAATTTTTGAAAATAAAGTTAAATTTTTTATTTTTAATTAAAATAGAAATTAAATTTAACAAAGAAAACTTTCTATTTGTATTATTGATACCTTGAATTTAGAATGAAGGGTCTTAGAGGTTATTATCAAAATTATTTTAAATTTATTTGAATACAAGAACTAAAATAGTTAATTTTTTCCCTACTCAGAACATCTTTTTATTCTTATATATCTATGAAAAGTATATTTTTTTCTGAAGGGAAGATTCTTTTCTGTTCTATACAGTCTCACTGAGGCTAGTCATCCCGGTATCTCCCTCTCCATCTTCTTCTCAATCCCTTGTCATGAAGTTGGGTATACACAGGTTACCCAAACAATACTGACAATGCGATTGGTACAGACACAGTTAACTCATCTGAGTCTTAGTCCTTCTATGGAATCCAGTATGTTGATATCATGAAACAATGATTCTCTCTTTGCAATGCGCTTTCTAACTGAGAACCACAAGAGCCTGAATCCTTTGACAATCAACTTTATTGGACACTTAACCAAGCAAGGAGAGGATGAATCAAATTGAATCTCAGGGAAAATAAATTCAGAGAAAAAAAAACCCTATAAATAGGAATTGATTCTGGAACACACCATTCTAAAACCTAGTGACCCTCATTTGAAACCAAAAGCTTTACTGTGGTAAAGGACAAATAAGAAGAAATCAATTCAAAATGAAATATTTCATGGTTTAAAAAGTTGTATTGAGGGGACGGAGCAATAGTGCAACAGGTAGGGCATTTGCCTTGCATGCGGTCGACCTGGGTTCAATCCCCGGCATCCCATATGGTCCCCCAAGCACTGCCAGGAGTAATTCCTGAGTACAAAGCCAGGAGCATCGCTGAGTGTGACTAAAAAAGCAAAAAAAAATCATAAAACGTTGTGTTGAGAGTGGCACACTTGGAAGGGGCCCAAGTTGTTCAAAGACCACCTAGAAAGACAGTGGTGGTACTAGGGGGTCAAGCAGTACTGGGGATGGAACTCAGTGCCCTCCACATGCGAGGCATGTGCTCTATCACTGGAACTACATCCTCAGTCCTAAAAAAAATTAGAACAAAGTTTCCAGTACTGACCATAACTATATGATAAAATTATCTCACAAAAACTTGAATACATATTATTTATTCATTAGTAATTACAAATTAAGTAATAACTATCCACCCAACATTGCATTAGGCAAGAGGGTGAAAACAGGAGGAAGGAATATGGCCCCAAACTTACCAATATTAATCTGAAAGACTTTTATCATGAAAAATCTCATCTATGTTCTCACACACACAAAAAAAATCTTTCAATAAATAGAAACCTAGAATAATCTGATTTGTAGTGAACCTCATATTCTAAAATGTCCTCTTTAAAAGGAACCTCAGAGACTGATTTCCAATTCTGAGTAAGTCTTATTAGCATGTGATTTTTTTTCAATGACTACATCTTAATAGTAACCTCATATTTAGATTTTTCATCAGAACATTATTTTATAGTTTTCCACATTTATAACAGAGTCTGCTAAAATCATTTAAGCTAAAATATTATCAGAGTGTTTATTAGATACCCTCTGCATAAAATGATACGCCACCAGAAAAAAATGATTTTGCAACGTCTTCTCAATCCCATGAAATACAGTTTATATAGCTTTCTTAGATACTTTTAAAAACAATAGACTAAAAAAGAAATTCCCTCCAAAAGTAAAATAAAGCTGTATTTCCAATAAAAAATAGTTACTTTTTGAAGTGTAGATTATACCTTTTTCCCTTTATAAACAAACTATTAGTTTTATTTAAATTTCCTACACGTATGAGTGATCATTCCCTTCCCGTTTACTTAGAAACTCTAGCATGAACTGCTGTCACCTAGAATGCAGTGTTCTTAATTCTTTTGGAACAAGGTTATTTATAAAACCAGCTTCACAACTGATTCATCTCTTCTGCTTAATACTTTCTGAAGCGCTCTATGTCAAAAAAAAAAGAAGAAGAAGAAAGAAAGAAAAGAAAGAAGAAAAGTGGGAATTAATTCCACAGAGTAAACATCTCATGGTCTTGCTTTTAGAAAAACAGGAGAGAGGTGGGTTTTCCACTGAACATTTTTATTTTTATTTTCTTCACATCATTCAAGAGTCTGTGGTTTGTTTTATTTATAATTTAATGTGTTTTTTTCCCACAGAACATTATGAGCTGTTGTACTAAAACCCACGTGAATGCACATGACAGTCTGACCCAGACTATTTCGAATAAAATTTTATTTTTAAATGAAAGATCTTACTATCACCTCTCCAAGAAAGTCAAAAACAGAACTGGTTAACATTCCAAGACCTTAAAGATAATATAAAAGAGGAAATCAAAAGAATTATATCCATGTGTCTGTGAGCAATGAAAGGTTAGAATGAGCAATGGGAAGAATTATGAATCAATTCTGAAGTTTTCTATTATTTCATTCACAACACCTTTACTTTCCTAAGAGACATTCCCCCTACCATTGTTTTTTACCAGGCTCAGTTCATTTTCCCCCTCAGGCCTTTAATCCCTCTGTTAACACTCAGTCACTGTCACTGTCCTCCCGTTGTTCATCGATTTTCTCGAGCGGGCCCCAGTAACGTCTCCAGTGTGAGACTTTGTTGTTACTGTGTTTGGCATATCAAATACGAGGACTCAATATAACGACAGTTTTTACTCCCTCTGCTTCTAACTATTCTTATTAAGGGGTGAAGGGATATGCAAATTACATTTGACTTTCCTCTCATCCCTTAATTTTATATCCAATAAGCTCTCAAGAACTTTTTCCTTTTTTTTTTCTTGGGGGGGTCGATTTTTTAATCAAACTATTACCTTTATATTTCCTATCAAATATAAAATTTCATTGCCATCATGATAGTCTTAACTATTAATAATTATTTTCCTGAACCCGGTTTAGCAAGAGTCGTAAGAAGCCAGTTAGATACCGAAAAATGTTGATGCAAACCTTTATTCAAAAAAACAACAGCAAAAAGAGGAACTACTTCAGAAGGTGTTTTTCCTTCTTCCCAGTATAATTGTAAAAAATAAATGAATATTCCCAAACAGAATAAAATTATATTTAAAAAGCAATCCACTGATTACAGCATCAATTTTCTCTACCTTACGCTTTATATATCCATTTTCCTATATTTTAAAAAGTACATCTCACACTTATGAGCATTTCAAATCCAGCTTGTAGTTTGTAGTTCTTCTAAAAACTTTGTAGTTTTTTAATAAAAACAAAACACAATGATACATATGTATATATAATCCCAAATATATACGAATCTCATACTCTGCATGTACATATGAGATTCAGTGATAGAAATGAAATTTCATGCTTTTTTCTGAAAAGTTCCAAAAGTTTTGAGGGGAAAGCCTACATGGTACTAAAACATGTTTTTTTTTTTCAACAAATCTCACTCTGTCATTGAAGATCATATTTAAGCAGAAATTTTAAGTGCCAGAACCAAATGTCAGAACAAACTGTGGTTTGGTTTTATTTTCCCCTTCCAGTAAGTACCTAAAGATTACAGGAACGCTTTGGAGTAGAAAATATATATTACTCACTTCCTTTTAGGATGGTGTTTACCAAAATATCATAAATACTTAATAGCAACTGTTCCTAGTGCTTCTAGCAAAAGTTGTAAAATGCAACATAAACCTCAGCTGTGAAAACCCAGGAGTTTTGCTTTGCAGTTGATCACTCCATTTCCACATACCCTGTTAGGAGAGCCCAGAATCTAATGATCACAGGAGACAAGCAACTCTGAATTCCAAACAGAAATATTATGAACGCCAGCGAAACTATGAATCATTAGAATGGAAAGAACAACAGCAGTCAAATACCCAGGCTGCTTGACCTCACCTGATAGCTAAGAAGCACCACAATTGGCAGAGGAAGCGATAACACATTCTAAACCTAGTTTTTCTTTTACAGTTCATTCACAAAGCTTTCAAAATAGCAAGATGGCAAGGCATGCTACAGGCAAAGGTGGGTACACTGAAGACTATTTCTGAAAAGCATAAGCTGGAAATCATGCACCCAGTCCCACACAGCAAGATTTGCAAGAATTAGTACCAAATGTCGTTTATAAACAAAATCCAGTCCCCCAGGTAAGGCGGAAGGCTGTGTTCTTCAAGGTAATGAACCAGGTGGCAAAACAAAACTGACTTGACCAGAATTTAAAGCTTATCTAAAATTATAAGGCATTCCTGCAGACAGCCCTAAAACCACCAGAAAAATACTCACAGAATTAATTATTCCTTTAAGGGCTTGAAATCCACCTTTGACAGGGAAAACTTGTTCCTTAGAATCAGCAATTCTTTCAAGCTTCAAGAAAAGGAGAAAATTGGGAGGTGTGATTGAGGAATATACTTAACATACTTCATATATACCAACATACACAATATATTCATCATGTACTTCATAAGTTTCAACTATGTTCTTCTGTAAAATTATACTACAGGGTTAATTTCTCAGTGTAGTCATTCAGGAAAAGAGGGTGATCATACTAGTGATCTCAAGTTTCTACTTCAAAATAATCCAGCTCTCTAGGAGATACAACGCTTAATCAAATATTAAGGTAGGATCACTGTGTAATGGGGGAAAGTATAACGTACAAACCCTCAAACTTCACGGAAAAAAATGGGTTTTGACAAGGAAATGACTAAAGAATCCTGCTAAACAGATAATCCAAATCCTTGCACGCCAAAGCGTTGTGTTGTAAGTCAAACTAAAACATCTAAAAAAGACTGCTGCAATAATCTTCTTAAAGACAATTACTCATACTACTCAAAAAACACATATTTTTTATCCTACACACACACACACACACAGCTGTGCTCAGGGTTTTCTATCGCACTCAGTGGTAACTCCAGGTGGAGCTCAGGGGACCATATGGGATGCCAGGGATCACACCCAGATTGACCCTCTGTAAAGCAAGTGCCTCATTTGGTTTGGCCTCATACAGTCATTTTTTTCCTTTATTAGTGAAACACCATGAGGTACAGTTGTAGACTTACAAGTTGTTGTGCTTGGGTTTCAGTTACGCAATGACCGAGTACCCATCCCACCACCAGTGCCCATTCTCCACCCCCACCAATCCCAGTATTCCTCCCACCCCCCATCCCCCATCCCACCCTGCCTCTGTGTCAGGGCACTCCCTTTTGTTCTATCTCTCCTTTTGGGTGCTGTGGTCTGCAGAATAGACATTGGGTGGCAATCATGTTCGGTCTATAGACTACTTTCAGCATGCATCTCCCATACTGGGCAGATCTTCCCAGCACCCTTTATTTGCTGCTCCCTTTTCTATCTGAGCTGCCTCTACCCCTAGAGTGTGCGGCTGGCCTCTAAGCCATGGAGTGAACAACCTGGTATTTATCACAGCTGTTCTCCGGTTGTTAGTCTCTTATTTTGTTACTTTATGTTACCCAGATAAATGCAATCTTTCTATGTCTGTCCCTCTCTTTCTGACTCATTTCGCTTAGCATGATATTTTCCATGTAGCACCACTTGTATGTAAATTTCATGATTTCATTTTTTCTAACTGCTACATAGTACTCCATTGTGTAGATGTATCAAAGTTTCTTTAGCCAGTCATCGGTTCTCGGGCACTCAGGTTTTTTCCATATTCTAGCTATTGTAAACAGTCATTTTTACAGTCATTTTTATAGAAAATCTTTAACTTGTCAGTAGGGTTCTAATGCTAATCATTTAAAAAAAATCTTATAAATTCCTTAAGATAATTATGTAATATGAACCAAGTCTGAAGATTTCCTATACTCACCTGATCTTGTTCAAAGTCAAGGACACCAACACAATATACTCTAGCCCCAAGTGACCTTGATAATTTTGCCTATAGAACAAGAGGGCAGGTGGGATGGAAGGAGAGAGAAGGAAGAGGATGGTGAATTACTCACATAGCAAGCTTCACATTCAGAGACACACAGTAAAGAACAATGGGGTGTAAAGAACCGTTTCAGATCAATACTCACCTCTTTCTCTGCATATTGCGGCACCAGACCTTCCAATTTACCATCTGTCAGGGCAATTAAGATACTGGAGGTTTTTGAGCCTCCTGCTTTCTGAATTTGTTCATTTGCCTGGATACAAAAAAATAATTATCCTATGAACAATTTGATCGTAATGTTTAACCAAAATGCTACATCGAACTTAAATTTTCAAGTATGACAAGATCAAAGTATTAGAGACTGACTTTTAAAATAGAGTATTTGGGGCTGGAGCGATAGCACAGAGGGGAGGGCAGTTGCCTCGCACACTGCCGACCCGGGTTCGATTCCCAGCATCCCATAGGCTCCCCAGGAGTAATTCCTGAGTGCAAAGCCCCTGTGTAACCCCTGTGCACCTCCGGGTGTGACCCCAAAAGCAAAATAAATAAAATTTTTTAAAAATAAATAAAATAGAGTATTGTGCATATATACACATTATATTATATTTATTATAGTATAGTTGCATTCAAATGACAAAGCTTTCATTTACTATTGTGACTTTACAGATAACGAAAAAAAAAATCCCTCCAAAGGAGAAGTGCCAATCACACTTGTTTCACTTCAGTTTTCTACCATTTTCATTCCTGAAACCACCAAAAAGCATTTTGGGTGGGGAAGGGGAAACTTTTGTTCTGGAAATGACCGTGTTCAGTGGCTCCTCCCGGCTCTGTGCTCAGGGTGACTCCAGGGCAGAACCAGGGTTTTATCACGTAAGGGCAACGCCTATCATTTTTTAATCACTCTTAAGCAAATGATAGAATTTATTTTTTACTAGGAAAAAAATTTATTTCAATGCAGAACAAGTAGAACTTTTCTCTCATACTCAATTATATATAGAAGAACTTACTAGTTTTATTCCTTCATGGATATAAGTCTCTCCGGCTGGTTTAACATTTTTTAAATTCTCCAATCCTTTACTGATCTTGTATCTGGAAAGAATGCATTGCAACATTAAGTGAAAGAAAAAGGAGCAAAAATCACAGTTCAGTACTTGTAAAAACCTGGCAAAAAGCACTGTTCACAAGAGCCAGAAACAACCCGAATGCCCAAGAACAGATGACTGGTTAAAGCAACTTTGGTACATCTACACAATGGAGTACTATGAAGCTGTTAGGAAAGATGAGGTCATGAAATTTGCTTATTAAGTGGTTGGTCATGGAGAGTATCATGCTAAGTGAGTCAGAAAGAGACGAACAGATATAGAAGGACTGCACTCATTTGTGGAATATAAAATGTAATGTGGGACTAACTCTCAAGAACAGTAGAGACAGGACCAGGAAGCTACCTCATGAGCTGGAGTAGAAGGCAGCTGGGATAGAGAAGGGATCACTAAGCGATGGAGGGATCGTTCGGGATGGGAGATGTGTGCTGAAAGTAAAGGACCAAAAAATAAATGATAGCCTCTCAGTATCTATATTGCAAACCATAATTCCCAAAAGCAGAGAGAGATCAAGAAAGAAAGTGCCTGCCACTGAGGCAGCTGGAGGGATGAGATTGGGAGGGGGGGAGACTGGGGACATTGGTGGTGGAAAATGTGCACTGGTGGAGGGATGGGTGTTTGAACATTGTATGACTGAATCTCAAACATAAAAGCTTTGTAACTACATCTCAATGATTCAATTAAAAGAAAAAACTGGCAATCTTGCACTTGAGGTTTCTTAGGTCAGAAGAAAACGAAAGAGCCTGGACCATGACAGGAACGAGATCCTTTTTAACCGTGTCAAATTAAAAAGTATTTACGACTTCTATATTTTAATAATAAAATATTTAAAATAACAATGTAAAATATCTTTAAATATAGAAATATATTCTAGATATTTTGATTTTTAAGTTTTTTTATTCTAGATATTTTAAACCGAGAAGAGACATATTCAGTCACATTTACTTTACTAAATGCTAAGAACCAAAATCTTTTTTCATTAAAGGGAAACAAGGATTGAATATGTCAGCTTAAACCTCACACCCTACAAATTGAAAATTTTCTATTATCTAAAATTTTCTAATGCACGTTATTTAATCTTTAGTTACATTAGTTAAATTTTTCAACTCCGTCTCTGAGTCACAAATTCTATAACTGGTCACTTTTGCAGCATTTCTCATTCATCCACACACTTTTAAAATTCTCTTTTAAAATTCAATGTTTTCACTACTAACCTAAACTGGAAGTGTGCAGTTGGCTAGCACCATAACCAGTTACTGTCACTGTCACTGTCCTCCCATTGTTCATCGATTTGCTCGAGCGGGCACAGTAACGTCTCCATTGTGACACTTATTACTGTATTTGGCATATCGAATACATCACGGGTAGCTTGCCAGGTTTTGCCATGCGGGCAGACTACTCTTAGTAGCTTGCCGGGCTCTCCGAGAGGGGCGGAGGAATCGAACTTGGGTTGGCCACGCTGGCTGCGTGCAAGGCAAACGCCCGACCCGCTGTGCTATTGCTCCAGCCCACCATGACCAGCACATTTTTTTATTTATTTTTATGTTTTTATTTTTGGGTCACACCCGGCGGTGCTCAGGGGTTACTCCTGGCTCTGCACTCAGGAATTACTCCTGGCGGTTCTCGGGGGTCCATAAGGGATGCTGGTGATCGAACCCAGGTCGGCCGCGAGCAAAGCAAAATTCTTACGCCCTGTATTATATTAGCCAAGAGCAAAGCAAAAGCCTTACCCTCTGTATTATATCTCCAGCCCCATGACCAGTATTTACAATGCATCCCCTACTTTCACTTTCAACTTATCATCATGCCTTTGGCAAAGGAAGTGTTCAATAATTCTTCAATAGGAAAAAACTCATAACGCCACAGATGATGAAATAAGTGACATAATTTATATGCTTGTTTTATCCAAATATTTATGCTTAGTATCTACAATAACAACTTGAAGCTAATTCGGTCTGAACACAGATAAGAACCAAATATTTGGTACTTCCCAGAAATGAGTGGCACTGTGTCCTCAAACTCAAATATTTGCTGCCAAAAGAGAAATGAAAATGACAACTGAAATTCAAGCTTAAATGACACATTATGGCTGATAAAAATCAACCTCTCCATTCATTTCAGATTTACCTTATCCTTGCTCCTCAGTGCAGATCATACAAGACTCAGCTGAAGGAACTTGCCAATGACGCACATAAAGTCTCTGGGGAAGGGAGATCCCTACTAGCATACTCTGGAAGATGCATAGCATCTTGGTTTTTCTTTTGCTTTTGTTTTTTAATCCATATCTACACCTGCCTTCATGACATCCCATTAGCAATGAAGTTCATCACCGCTGTTGCAACTGCACACAGTGCTGAGGGAAAAAAATTCTATGCCCATAACTAACAACATCAACATTGTTTGTTGTAGGGGCTAGAGTTATAGTACAGCGGGTAGGGTGTTTGCCTTGCATGCGGGTGACCTGGGTTCGATGCCCAGCATCCCATATGGTCCCTTGAGTACTGTCAGGAGTAATTCCTGAGTGCAGAGCCAGGAGTAAACCCTGTGCATCGAGGTGTGTGACCCAAAAAGGGGGAAAAAAACTAGTTGTTGTCTTCCTTTATTATATCAATATTATACTGATTTTGTCTTCTTTTATTATATCAAAACAGTCTATCAACACTAATCACCAAATGTGAGCATAGGAAAATGGAACCACCAAGACAGAAGCCTTCAAGGGAACATGAGCAACTGAAAATAAATTCTAAATTCTCTATTAGGATCTCTTGAAGGGAAAACAACACAGTGGAGGGAAACCAATACCTTGTAGTGGTTTAAAAACAGAACTCGTAAATAACATCTGCACTTGTATGTTCACTGCTACACTGTTTACAATAGCCAAAGTCTGGGAAAAACCCAAGTGCCCGAGAACAGATGACTGGTGAAAGAAACTTTGGTAATCTACACAATGGAATACTACGCAGCTGTTAGAAAAGATGAAGTCATGAAATCTGCATATAAGTGGATCAACGTGGAGAGTATAAAGCTAAGTGAAATGAGTCAGAAGGAGAGGATCAGACATAGAAAGACTGCACTCATTTTTGGAATATAAAGTAACAAAATTGGAGATTAACACCCAAGAATGTAGAGATAAGTACCAGGAGGTTTGCTCCACGGCTTGGAAGCCCACCTCACATACTGGGAGAAAAGGCAGCTCAGATAGAGAAAGAAACACCAAGTAAAGGGTGTTTGGAGGACCTGCTCGGGATGGGAGATGCATGCTGAAAGTAGACTATACACCAAATACGATGGCCACTCAATACCTCTATTGCAAACCACAACACCCAAAAGGAGAGAGAAAGAACAAAACGGAATGCCCTGCCACAGAGGCGGGGAGGGGTGGGCGCTACTGGGATCATTGGTGGTGGAGAATGGGCACTGATGGAGGGATGGGTACTCGATTATTGTATGACTGAAACACAAGCATAAAAGTTTTTAAGTCTGTAACTGTACCTAAAGGGGATTCACTAATTGGAAAAAAAAAAACAGAACTCATTCACTTATACTGTCAATTACAGAGAACATAAAGGACAGAAAGAAGAAAAATGATGAAAACTTTTTAAAAAGTTAAAATTGCATATGTTACCAAGTTTGGCTCAAATCCAACATCACTTTTGAAGATCAGATTCACTGCTTTGCTTTAATAGTTACTTAGTCAAAGTCAAGGAATAGTAATCCTGAAACTACTTGAGTATTTGTTGTGAAACTGTAACCAAGGATGCTGTTATGATGAAAGACAGAACTTCCCTTATAAGGTCTCTCTCTCTAGGAAGAAGTTTCTTTGCCATCCCTGAGTTATCTCTCCACACTATTTCTGCGAACTATAATTATGTACATTTCTCCTGTCCTGACTCTCAGAAAGTCCACACTAAATTTCTTACCAATTTCTGCTAATTCCCTCTGTTCATCCTAGTGTTGCATTCCTTACCTCAGGATCTTAACTTAAACCAACAAAGTGGGATTTTTTGTTGAGAATCAGAGAACTAAATTCTATGATCAACTTCCTTGTTGCCCTACAATGATATTGATTTTAAAAAATGCAAGAGAAGTATAGAAAGGAGCAGATACAAGTAACACTTTCAGAACTGAAGAATTAGCTCACAGGGTTAGAGTCCATGCCGTACATGCAGATGGTCCAAGTTTGATCCCTGGCAGCACGTGGTTCTCTAAACATCGGCTGGAGTAGCCCAAGACATTATAAAGTAACGCTTTCAGCTCTATTGGTACCTCTCAAATTTCTTGCTGTGAGAAGGAAGGGAAGGGGAGAAGGGGAGAAGAGAGAAAGGCAGTGGGGAATGGGGCAGGGGAGAAAAGGGGAAGGGGAAGGGGAAGGGGAAGGGGAAGGGGAAGGGGAAGGGCAAGGGGAAGGGCAAGGGGAAGGGGAAGGGGAGAAGGGAAAAAAGAAGAGAAGAAGAAAAGAGGGAGAAGGGGGAAGGCAGGGGAAATGGCAAGGAGGAAGAGAAGGAACAGAGGAAAGAGAAGGGGAGGGGAAGGGAGTGGGAGGGGAAGGGAAGGAAGTACAGAGGAGGAGGAGGGAAGGGGAGTGGGAGGGAGAGGGGAAGGAGGAAGGGGTGAGGAGGGAAGACAGCTGGTACAACTCCATGCACTGTGCCACATCAATGACTTACCACAGAACACTTTGAACTGTGGTAGCTGTGCATGACGTCATCATTTACACTGATACATTTTAATGGTCACATAGCAAAACGGTTAGCAGAGAATGCTGATTTGTTCAATAAACATGGTGGAGACATACTATTAAGTCTGTCCTCTGTTGGTGATGAAGAATGCGCATTTACACTGAACATCTGTCTAGTCCTAGAACTCGGCGATGCACATCAACATAACCTGGTGATCTCAAAGCTCTTTCAGGATTCCAGTCAATCCATACGGACACTGTTCTTGTGCACCCCCCTGTTTGATTATCTACTTTGATATGGGAGTGCCACA